GTGCCGCAGGTTCACGTTTTCTTTCAGTGCTCGCTAACCCCCCCCCCCCCGTCCCCGAACACGTCTTTTGAGGCATGTAGGTCACTACTTTGGGGTGACACACATTTTTAGAGGCATATAGATCCATATGACACAAATGATTTTGACTCTTTGAGAACAGACGGGATGAGGTTTTGATCAACAGTTTTTTAATAGTGAATGTTTTCTGGCTCAAATTACGAGTTCATGTTTTCCTTCAGCTCTTTGCACTATTCGCCGCTCGTGTTTTCAGATTATAGAAATAAATGAGATTTTCTTGAAATACAGTTGTTCTGTGTTGAACTTATGATTTATATTCAAAACCGAGAGTTTAGAATACGTCTTGAATTGGATAATGTAGAAAGAATTATGATTGATTTTAGCAGGAAAGAATCACGTAAAAAGTGGCGGGAATTAAGATGCAAGAAAACGTGAAACATATTACATGTACATAAAAGCAATTTATAATAAACTCTTTAGCATACATTGAAGTTAGCCACGTCTGAACATCCAGCCCACCTTGAGAGATCCTCTCAAAAGATAATAGTCACATACTAATAATGAGAGCTCTAAGGATACAGTTTTTTGACAAATGGTTTTTCTTTCAGATAAGTTTGCGTTATATGATGTACCCACTGATGAGACGATGAGTATTGCCGATTTTGTGAAAGAGTGTAAAGCAGCTGATGAGTTAATGGAGATAGCCGTGAAAGGAAGATACGAATTTCTGCCTGTCAAATCTGTCTTTGAGTTATTGAAGAATCCCAAACAGCCCGGGGTTATAAAGAATGAGGTAATCAGATTCCAAAATGATGCTATTAACACAGCTTCCAAGAGTGAAAGATTTGACGACTTGCAGTCAAAATGGTGAAATATCAGTATGGGAAAATCACTGTAGGGAAGATGAAGAAGTCTACGATCCGTTTTTTTTAATTTCTAGAGGCATATCATTTACACCCTGGCATATCGATGGAGATCCGCCCTTGACTGCATGGTCGCAACGTCAGCGTGGGGAGAAACTTTGGTTTTTCACAACGAATAGAAGAGTAACCAATTTTCTGCTACGAAAACCAGAAAGTCGATGGTCGCCGTCCAGTTTGCTAACCGAGTCCTTGAGAATGGATCGTAAAGACCTGTGGGTTCATGTGCAAAAACCAGGTAATGATATTACTGAATAAATGTTAAGACAATACTTGAAAAATTTTCATTTACAGGGGAAGCTATACATCTACCGTATTGTACTGGCCACATGGTTTTGACGTATGAGTATAGTGTGCTGCTAACATGATCCATAAAAACCAGTGATTCTACTGAGGTAATGCAGAAAAGACAAGTGCAGTACACAGCTCCAACCGGTGTATCTCATCCGGTATTGAATCCAGGAAGCCGAAGTCAGAAGATGCCTAAGCGAAAGAAGAAATTCACCCGAACTCTGAGAAACAGAAATGAGAATAAATAGTTTAGTTGTGAATACAATTTGAATCATAAAGCAATTGCTTGCAATTTGTTAACTTGTCATTAGTCACATCACTTGTCACAAGAGCTAGTCAGTAGATGAAGTTTTGTAGCCGGTCTGTTATAGGTTCCTTTAGATGTACGGATTTGTACAACACGTGCTATATCGTCGTTTCCAAGAAAGGTCTTCATGACTCTCGCTAAGGGCCACTGAAGCGGTGAGATGTTGTCTTCTGCAACTAGAACCATATCGCCAACTTGAGGGCTCCTAGTTTGTACTTTCCACTTGTTTCTTTGATTGAGTGTTGTAAGATTTTCTTTGGACCATCGTTTTCAAAAATCGTTAACCATTTGTTGAGTGAGTAACCAACGTTGCTTAAGCGTCACAGAGGCTGTCTCCTTGTTCGGTAAACTATCAGGAAGTGACGTCAAGGGTGCTCCTATAAGGAAATGACCTGCCGTCAAGGCTGTGACGTCGTTAGGATCATTCGAAAGTGGTGTTAAGGGTCGGTTGATTGTTAAATTTTGAAACAAAGAAAGTTCTTCTCTAGAATTTCTCCATGACATCTCAATAGATTCCGGAAGTCGTTCATCCCAATCAGATCTAGCCAGCCAGCATTCTTTCAAGAGAATCTTGAACTGTAAGATTGTAAGAGAAAGCCAGCCCATGAGATCGTAGAATGTGGAAACATCAGACAGCAGTTTCCTCTTTGTCAACTTTGATATTTCAGGCTTTCTTGTTACAGTGAACGAAAATTGATCAGTGATTGGGTGCCACTTCACACCAAGGGTCTTGATTGAGTGCTGTTTGTCACAGATTGTGTAGGCTTCGGGTGCCTCTTGCAATGAAATCGGTAATCTTGTGATTACTTGTGGGCAATCGTTTGACCACTTTCGAAGATCGAAACCACCTTTCTTGAGTGTTGATATAAGATTATCTTGTAATACGACTGCCCCTTCCACAGTGTCTGCACCTGTAAGAGCATCGTCGACATAGAAATCGTTTCTTATGACTTGAGCGGTGATTTCGTTGTCAACATCTAAAGCTGTTTCCGTGAGGGATCTAGTTGAATGGTATGCAGATGAACGTGTCCCATAGGTCACGCGAGTCATCCTGTAGGTCTTAATGGGTTTCTTTGGATCGTTTCGCCAGAGTATTCGATGAAAGTCCTTGTCTGGTTGTGTTAAACAGATTTGTCTATACATTTTGGCCACATCAGCAGATAAGGCAATGTGATGAACTCGGCAGCGACTGAGTATATCGAACAAACTATCTTGGATCACGGGACCAGTCATGAGTGTGTCATTAAGAGATGGACCTCCACCACTCGTTTTGGCTGAAGCATCAAAGACAACACGAAGCTTAGTTGTCGTACTAGAGTCCTTAGTCACACAGTGATGCGGAAGGTAAAACACGTCTGCGCAATGTTTTTTGATTTCTGCTGCGGGAACGAGTTCTAGATGTCCTAGATCAATGAATTCGTTTACCAATGCTTCGTACTTATCCTTCAGTTGCTTGTCTTTTAAGAGACGTTGTTCAAGTAATAAAAAGCGTCGTTCAGCTTGTTGGTAGCTTTCAGCGAGAGAAGGGGCGCCGTCCTTTACTGGAAGTTTGACAACGTACCTCCCTTCATCATCCCGCATTGTTGTTTTAGTGAAGTGATCTTCACATTCCCTTTCTTCTTGAGTTAGACGAGAACTCTTAGGGACTTCTTCCAATTCCCAAAACTTCTTGAGAATTTGATCCGTATCTTCTTGCATAAGTAAGTGATTCACGATTTCTTCCGTATTGTGGGTCGTCATAGAGATATGCTTCGATTGCAATGAATTTGAAGAGGTTGCACCAGATATAATTTAGCCCAAGTCTGTTTCTTGAAGACAAATTGTATCGCTCAACTTGATCAATCCAGGTTTGAGAAGTGCTGAGTAAACGTCCACTCCAAGAAGAACATCAATTCTGCCAGGCTTGTGAAAACTGCTGTCAGCCATATCAAGATTGTCGATATGCTTCCACCCGCCGATGTTCACGTTAGCCAGTGGGAGGTTGCAGGTCACACGAGGCAGGACAATGAATACTCCTGTCAAAGATTTGGAGAATCTGGGAAGCATTTCAGCAGTAACAACTGAATTTGATTGTGCGGAGACTGTCTCCCCCACGGATTGAAGATTAGTAGTTACTTTCTGACAATGCAATCCTAGCTGCTGGGCACAATGGCGTGTCATGACCGAAGCAGTTGAACCTTGATCTAGTAATGTGCGAAAATATTGTACATTACCTTGACGATCCTTGAATGCAACCTGCGCAGTGGGTAGGATGGTATCCGTCTCCTCGGGTCTCCTGGAGCCACTATGATTGATCGCTTGGGCGGACCTGTGTAGCAGCGTGTTGTGCTTGCCTTGACATGTCTTGCATGTGCTTGTTGAGTTACATTGATTCGCAAAATGACCAGAACGTAGACAGTTACCACATAGCTTGTTCGTCTTGACAACTTGAAAACGCTCATCTATCGTCTTTTCTCGGAATGAATTACAGGAGATTAGTTTATGATTCTTGGATTTACAGCAAAGACAACTGTCTGTAGTTGAATGGTAGATATTGGAATGGTTGTTTTTGTTCTGATTGGAGTGTAATTGCTTTGAGGCTGCTAGGCTGTATAGAAGCATGAGGTGAAGCTTCTAAGGATCGTGCTCGTTGATCAATGAACTGGAGTACATCATCCAAATCTTGTAGTTGTGGACCAGGATTCTGAAGCTCCCATTGTCTTCTTGTTTCCGGGTCCAATTTCTCTAGAATGAGATATACGTAGATGTACGCACTAGTATCCACTTTATGAGATTGAAGGGCTGACAGATGCTCCACAATCTTCGACTGTAGTTTCCTCAGGGTACTGACATTTTCGCTTTTCAATACCGAAAATGCAAGAAACTCCTGAATATGAGCATTGATTACTGAGCGTCTGTTGTCGTATCGTTTTATGAGCTGTTGTTTAGGAATGGCGTAGTTTGCGTCGTTGATTGACAAAGAAGCTATGATTCTGGCAGGTTCATCTTTGAGGGCTGCTTTGAGGTAGTTTAGTTTCTGCGCATCACTGAGAGAATTATTCTTGTCAATAGACGCTGTGAAGAGATCGTAGAACAAAGACCATTCCACATATTTACCAGAAAATGTAGGCAATTCGAGTTTAGGTAGTTGTACCTGCTTAGATTGAACGCTCTGCGATGGCTGAGGTTGCGAAAGAAGTGGAGCTGGTGCTATATGCCTTTCGACTTCACCGATGAAACTTGATATTTGATAGATTGCTGTTTGCCAGTTTGCTGTTTTCTCTTCAGTTTCTTCTATTTCATTTACTAGTGAAGAATGTGGAGTGATAGCTTCAATCGTCTTGTTGATGGAATTGAGTGTGATGAGCTTCCTGTCCAAGTGCATCAGAACAACTTTGAGTGCCTCAAAATCTTGCTTCGATACTTGGTCAGTAGGATTTGCCATGATTGCATTGGCGTCGTTGATGTACTAAGTGACAACACCACGATGTGCTCCACGAGTACTTCTTTCCCTTACTAGGGTAGCTTGATTGTCTTCCGTGCTGGGAGATGACATCTTGAAGGATTACGTGAATGATATCACGTCGGGGTCACCAAATGTTCTGTGTTGAACTTATGATTTATATTCAAAACCGAGAGTTTAGAATACGTCTTGAATTGGATAATGTAGAAAGAATTATGATTGATTTTAGCAGGAAAGAATCACGTAAAAAGTGGCGGGAATTAAGATGCAAGAAAACGTGAAACATATTACATGTACATAAAAGCAATTTATAGTAAACTCTTTAGCATACATTGAAGTTAGCCACGTCTGAACAACAGTTTTTCTTTTTCTTATATTAGAAGAGTTTTTGTTAGTCTATGTTTCATTTAGACCTAGAACATGTTTTCAATGACTATTTAAAAATACCAAAAGATATCAGTGCTGATTAAAGATTCTGATAAACAAAACTTACGGTAATCAAATTATCAAAACCTCCTTCAATAAAATGCTAGAGCACAACTACAAAACTCGAAAAAGACTGCTTGTATCAGAGCACAGCCATGAATGTTCCGACTGCTTTTTTTTTAGATCTACAGAATAGTGTTCGCTCAAAAATATGACCAAGATTTTCGAAAAAAAAATGAGTTTTTTTGAGATTTTTTTCCTGAATACCAACACCCACAGTCTATTTGAGCACAGAGAGATGTAATTCGCTTGTAGCGAAGTAATAAATTGACGGTGTTGCTGAGCAAATAATGAACTGAAAACAATTGTATATTAAGTGTTTGACGGGACATAAGTTGTAAGCTGAGCTTGATGGGACATGAATTTACTCGAGTAACCGGGTTCGAACCCCCAAAAAAACCTTTTCTGTTTTCTTAGTTATTTAAACTAGTTCATAAAACAATCATGGCCGACTTTGATTGACAGCTTTTCGTCTGTAGAAACCGGGTTTTGCCAAAAAAGTTTGAACGCATTCAAACGCTTGATATCAGTGCTGTGTTAAGTCGAAATTAACGAAAATGTTTTTGTTTGAACACCCATACCCGTGTTTTTGTGTGATCTCGCCGAGTAAAAAGCAAAAAAAAACTATACGAAAAACCAGCATTCCTTTTTTGGAGTCCAGAATTTTTTGGGGTCGGTATTTAGAGTCCAGAATTTTTAGGCTAAAACTTTCGACCCAGTTTGTTCGATTCTGCTAAGCGTCCCGCCATCCAGAAGCTGCAATAAAATTCGAAAAAAGTCATAAATGTGTTGTAGCAAAACGTAATGCCCCCGACTGCTCGCTTGAAAATTTCAGTCTAATCTATATCAATTCGAAAACTCCAGTCAAATAATCTAGTTTTAGCTCTGTTGACCTCATTTTTACTCCGATTGGTTAAAAGGACTTTGATTTAGTTTATACGATGTCTCCTAATCCTGCACAAAAACTTTCGTAAAGTCAGTAAAACTGCCGCGTCCGTTTTTTCTATGGTACAAAACTATTATGGTTTTTATTATTGGTGCAAGCTCGTTGCATCACGCTTTAGAAAACCAGGCGCGTCACTCCGTAATCAGCTTGTTGATACTAAATTAGTTATTCCTAGGCTAAGTTTTAACCCGAATGCCGTTAATCCCCGTAAACTGTACAGCACTACTGTGAGTCATTTTCTACCATCACTCGAGCATCGTGGTTTGGCACGACGTCATAAATTACTCAATTAGTAGGCATCAGAGCTATAACTTCAACGCTTTGTCCGAAAATGAACTTTTCGCCATCCAAAAATTAGCGCCATCGCATAATGTCAACGCACCGGAACTGAGACAATATTTGATAATTTAAAAAGTTTGGTTATTCTAACCACCATTTTAGTCAATTTGTTAAATTTTAGTCACCATTTTAGTCAATTCGGCCATTTTAGTCAATTCGGCATTGCACTTGAAATATGTTGACAACAACCCAGACGATGAAGAGAGTGGCCACTTTGAAACCCATTCTACCGGCAGACGAACAGCCATTGGAGTTTTCTTATCAGCATCATGAATATATTCAAGCGGGCATATCTGGTGATAAAAGTCCTGACCAATTACCATTTCGATGTCCGAATAACTACACTGAACTGGCTTTATTGCTTCCAGTTATAGATATTTTTTCTTGAAGGGCCAGAACATCAACCTTTTGAGACCTATATAATTTCATCTTTAACGTAAGCGATTACTTTGAAAATATATTCGGTGTTATTTATTTCAGCGGATAGTGTGACCTCGAATAACTCAGTCGAAATAAAATTCGTTGAATTAAAATTATTTAGGGTCAGACGGCGGGACAAAACTAGTTTCAGAGGGCGGCACAAGCTTGCGTAAAGCCGGGCGTGATTGCTCAAGAATCATAAAAATCGAGGGCGTTTTCGGATTTTGACTTAGATCAAACATCCGCCTGAACTTTTCAGGTAGAAGACTTGATTTCTTCTTTTCGAGGAGGAGAAAAGCGATCGGCACTATGCAAGAGGACATTGTGCGTGCTTTCGCATTGAGGTTTAGTTCATTTCCTAGCTGTCGGGAAATTACGGATTTTGTGGTCCGCATGGAAACAGGAGAAACAGAGCTATTTCTCCGCGGAGTAGTGTTATTTTCCTTGAATATCTTGCATCCCCATAACGGATGTTTACCAGCGCACTCTAAGCATGGAGGGTATTCAGCCTTGTTCAGCTTAGCACTGGAAACTCGGGTTGTAATTTTTGGCTTGACAGGTTCCTCGGTTTTTGATTTAACAAGAGAAGTTTTCTTACGCTCACACGTTTTGGCCTTTCCTTTCAACCACTCGTTTTCATGACTACGTTTGTTTCGGCCTTACTTTTGGCCAAACTTTTTTCTTTCAACCACTCCATTGGGACAAAACCAGTTACGCTTCAGGGTGTCGGACGACCAAGATTCCTTCATATTCGGAGGCAATTTTATAAAACCTTGATTCAAGATGGCGCTTCTTTTCAAATATTCCTCATATGCCAACAATCGAAACACACCAACGAGATTTGAAATGACACAAGCAAAGATAATAATGCTTTCAGAATTGTTAATTTTCACTGGGGGAGCGCTGTTAAGTTTTTCGAGGGGGGCGCTCTTGATAGTTTGAGGTTGCCCAAGGTTTCGTTCAAGGACTCTTTTTGCATCCCTGTGTTTTCGACCTGAATACGCGAAGACCGCTATTATTAAATTAGCTTCCCCAGTTAGCAGTGTTTTAAGGTACGTCAATTTGACGTCATCCGAAATAGTTGATTGCGAATCAAAAGCACTCCGAAACTGACCTATCCGTTCGTGCCATTCCAATGGATTACCATCAAACTTACATAATTTCCACTCGGCTAACGGAACCTTCCTGTTTGATGCCAAGACTTCGGTTAAACCTCGCACGGATATCGATTGAGATGGCGGATTGACATTTTTCGAGAAAGAATGGTATACGCAAGATGCAGCCGGAATCGAAAAACCCGGCTGATTATCGGAAGAGCAAGGAAAATCCGACGCAATCGGTGATTGCAAGGTTATTTGCTGGTATCAAGAAGTGAAAAAAAAAATTGTTCCACCGCTATTGTAGGCAAAGTTTAGAGATTTTGGAGGGGCAAAAGATGTTACTGCCTCAAATACGTGCGATGACACCACAAATAAAAGGTTGCAAACTGCGGGGATCGGTGTTGCAGTTGCTGAGAACCACGATGCGAGATTCGGGTTAGAGATCTGACTGAAGCCGATGGGATGATCTACAGGGGTACTGCCGAAATAACTGCAGAATGGGGAGGTAATTTTATATATGAAGGTGATGGAATATTTTCAAGGTTAGCAGACGTGGCAGGCTCAGCATTAACCCACTAATTTGCATCTTAAGACCGGTGAAGTTCTGTTACATCTTCGTTTAAGTTCGATTCATAATCATCGATACTTTTTGAGTATTAGTGCCGGCAGCAATCTGCGTAAGACGTTTAGGAATCATGAGAGGTACTTTAGCCCCATGCATCATCGTAGAGGACAAGCCAACTAGTTGGTCGTTACACACAAGAACGACTTCCACCGGGGCGTTAGAGGAACCGTATTCAATCCAGATGTGCATGCGGTCGGTTCAGTTATGGTCACTACTGGCTCCGAATTCGGCACTTTTTCCATCCGAGTTTTTGTTTCTTTATCTGCCTTTTCTCTGTGAGAGTTTACCGAGCTAGCAAACAAGTCAACGTAGTCGGAGTCTTACTCTAATTCAGCTTCAGCTATTTTGGCTTCAATATATTTTTGTTTTTCTTCTCGCAGATTTATACGTCTTCCCAACTTTGCTTGATTTCTAGTAATCGCATTTCTGCTTCATTATGTCTCTTGATCTCTTCTGTTCCTAATTTAGCCAAGAACACTCTCTTTTCCGTTGTCAGGAAGTCATTAAGACTGTTTTACTGTGATATGAGACCCTAGACCTATGTGAACTTCGAAGTTTTCCGAAAATGTTGAGGAAGCCACTACTCCCGAACGCGATGAAATGGATCTCACTTGTTCTTCCGATCCTACAAAGGTTAAGGCTACTCCTAGTGTTTTTGTCCTCAGTTCAAGCCACTGTCCAAAATCCTCGCAAATTTTATCTCTATTAGTAGCCTTTTCCGCCATTTGACTTATCTCATCCATTTTGAAAAAACTTTTTCCGGGAAATTATTTGTGTTTCTATGGTTCCCTGAAGGTATTTTTGAAAATTTCCAAATTAGGCCGAGAAACAAGAAGCTAATGTACTTTCCAGCCTAATTCTTGATTCATTGTGACAAACTGTATTGATGTGCTTTTACAATTAAAAAGAGTGACATTCCAAACCTTAGTTCAATATCAAAAGTAAACAAAATGACATTAGAGCACTGTAATATAAAAGCAACAATCTATACACCCACTACAAGAACAAGCTTCTGAGCCAAAGAACTACATACCTCGGCTAGGTGCTCCTATAAGATGAATAAAAA